TATGTAATGTATCAGGGTTACTGTAGAGTTACGCGAATACATCTCTTCCTCGCTTTCTTTCCTCCGCTCTCTTTCTCTCTCTCTCTTTTTCCCTTTTTCTTTCTCTCTCTCTCTCTCTCTTTCTCTCTCTTTCTCTCTCTCTCTCTCTCTCTCTTATACACTTACTTTCACTCTCTCTTCCCCCTCCCTACCTCTCCCCTTCTCCATGTACACCTATAATCCCGCACGCTCACCTTCAGGTTGCCGATGTTAGCTGCGACGCACATCAGCTCGATGGTGGCGCCACCTGGCACGCTAGAATCCTGACTAATCTCCACAATGGCCGCTTGTGGCCGGAAGTCTATCACCGCAGGCAGCTGCGTCGCAAACGGCGTCACTTCCTGTCCGGGTCGCGGCGTCGGCCGGGTCGTTGCCGTTACCGGCTCGACACGGTCGATGACCGTTGGTCCGCGGATGGATGGCCTCTCTGTGGAGGGAGGCGGGGGTGGTGAAAGATTGATTTTTTTTAAGATGGATATTTAAAAAAAACTAAAAATATATAGGAAATTTACTTTAAAATCTAAAATCTAATAACAAATAATTAAATAGAAATAATAAATGTCTCCGATAAACAAAAGTCTACAATAATCAAGTCGCAAATAACAACTTATTCGTACAAGTATGTTCGAATTAAATAACTTTAAATGAAAATAAAACTATTACTCGCAAAAAAAAAAAAAATACAATTAAAAAAAAAAGTCCGTAAACGGCGTAACTATGACAACGAGCGTCTGCCGCGGCGGCGCGTCTTACCTCCGAACACGGTGATGCGCACGTCGGCGTTGATGGGCGGACGGGTGGCGACCTCGCACGTGTAGATTCCCGCGTCCTCTCTGTCGACGTCGCGCACGCGCAGCACGCACGTGCGCCGCCGCGGCGGGCCCGTCAGTCGCACGCCGAGTCTCGTGTCGGTACTTAGCTGCACCCCGTTGACGGTGAGAGTGACGGGAGTGCGTCCGGGAAGCGCGTGTTTCCAGACGACCTGCAGTGACGACGACGGCAGTGAGGGAAGCGGGAGGTGAGGTAAGAATGGTGACGTCCTTATTTATTACACACACATCGGCTGACATCATGTCATTATGTCATCATGTCATCACACATGTCATCATGTCATCAATTGCGTGTCCATTATTGCTGATCCATCCGTAGACAACATCAGAGTTGCTCTGCAAAACAGAATCAATCTTCAGCGTATATATAGGTCTCCTAATGCAACCCAGTCCCTTCCTTCTCTGTCATTCCTGCCCCCATCTCTATTGTCTTCGCACCAGATCTAAAGCCTATACAGTCGTCTATTGTCGCTCTCTCATCAATCAATCCAAGCTCAACCTCCCCCGCCATTTCTGGCCCACATCTATTGCCTCCGCGGCAGATCTAAACTTTTCCATAGTGCGGTCGCTGTCTTCCCAAACAAACCCAAACCGTGCGTTCTCTGTCATTCCTGCCCTTACGTCTATTGTCTCTGCACATGAAGGTAAAACCTACCATCGTTCGATCATCAGAGAAGCCGATGCCGGTCCAATGAAGCCCGAGGTTGTTCGCATTGATCGTAAAGCGAACGCTATCGTTGACTGCATCGTACCGCCAGGAGGCACGGTATCTGCAGGCTGGCAATGGCGACGCTTCGTTGAAGGAGCAGGACCGAGGGAACTGCCACATGCCCTGACAGTCGGACACGAAGGGTTCCGTAAATCCGTCACCTACGGAAAATGTCGAACATCCGTCGATTAGAACTATAATACCCTGAATTATGCTGGAGTCTAGATTAGACCTCCACGGACTTGAAAAATATTATATAATAATGGCGCGCTAGTCGTTGTAGAAAATTTGTTTATCAATATATATGTGTTAGATTATATTGAGGTGTTGCTCGCAGCAACGTTAGCGTTGAATGTAATTGCATTTAAGCGTCTCGAAATTAAAATTGAATATAAGCAGTCTAAATAGCTAGGTCAGAGCAAAGAATTGATAGGAAATGGTTCTTTTTCAAGACCATTTCCTCTTTATTGTTCTTCGACGCTTACAAATGTACATCATGAGAACGCGTTTAATTGTAATAGCAATATCAGCTTATTTTGTCAATATCATCGATATATTAAAGTATATCATTAACAAATACAAGCAGTTTATTAATACGTGTATTCTAAATACAAGCAGAAATTAATGTAAGCATTATCATTAACGAAGCATGCACAAATTCGGATCACGAGCGATAACCGTGTAACAGACGAATCCTGAAGTTACTACATGGATCACAGTTTGATATATACACATGCGAACGTTAGATATGCAAGGTTAAACAATTATAATCAATGATGGTCATCATGAAGAGTCGTGACTGTCTAACGATAAACACTCCGAGTACCCAACGAGTACGCTACGATACACTACGATACAACTCAATAGCATACAAAGGTGATGCGTAACCATACAAGAACATACAATGTGAAACAATGAATGAACAATGGCGATCCAACAATGCATGTTCAATGGGACACGATTTTCGCCCGGCATTAGCTTGCGCAATGTAGTTGTTATATGACTGGATGCCGAATTGACTGGATGACAAAGGATGATGAACACCCATGCTATTAAGATGAAAATGGCACCGGTATACTTAGCACGATTGTTCACGATGCATGATATATTAAATATCATAAGCATGCTACATGATGTGTTTTATGCGATGTGGGCATGCGCCTGGCTACGTTCAATGTGGCAATGCGATCAGCATCGCGTCCTGAGCGAGAAACACCTGAAAATGAAGTCGCAGATGAGTTGGTTGTGATTCGACTGGATGCGTGACTGGTGGTGATTAAGATAAGAAAGCAATGGGAAGTCAGCGTGTTTATTATGAACAAAAAACAGTTTGAGGGAGCCTAAACAGAAAAAGAATGAAAGAGAGAGAGAGACGAGAGAGAGCAGAGACTGACAGGCCGACAGACGTTCGTTAAAAAAACAAAATACGCCTCCACGGGATATGGCTGGCCGGCGCGTGTGCGGAAACATTGAAGTCAGGCTGGAGTACGAGGCGTGCCTAGAGTCCCGCTAGCTGGCACCATGCTCCTGGGGGTGCCGCACGACGGCCAGGAATCAAGTTGACACCGTGGAACGGCGGAGATGCGAGGGGATTGACTGGAGTAGAGTCTCCGCTAACCATGCCCGGTGATTCGTGTCGCAGGTGAAGGGCGGCATGGA